GTAGGACCCGAGGGCAAGGCTGGGGGGGGTGGAAATCTCAAGACAATCTTGCATTTCAACTGTCAGTACTGAAATATCCCAAGCACTTAAAATAAGACTTGAGTTCTAGGTTCTTCTCCAGTTTTCAGAAAAGCTTTTCTTGTATCTCATATTTGAATTGCACTTGTAAATCACATCAAAAAGTGTGAGCCTTTGTTCCTGTGAACAAGTTACTTTTTTTCTCTCTATTCACATCCTGAACTGTTTCTGAATAATTGTATCAAGTCAGTAAAGCAGATCAGTTGAAGCAATGTTGAATCTGTAATTGTCATTTTGCTGAGATGTAAAAGTGGAGAGAATAAAAAAAGTCAAAATCTCTTCTGTAAGTACAGAAAACAGAGAGCTGCTAAGTTGCCATGTCTGGCCGCACTGAATGTAAAATTAAACAAGGCTTTGCCCTCTGGGACCTTCCTGGCTATCTTCCTACATCATGCAGTTATCAATAAATCTGTGAAATCTCTTCATAATTGTACTTGGCAAGTCAAAAAATTATCTGATGACGTGCTGGCTGTTAGTTAAACGTTAGGTTTTGGTTTAGTAGACAAGAATTGTACTTACGGTTCCCCCCCACCGTGTATATTTTCATGAGAAAGCACAGGGCGCTGTGGCTGAAATGAAATGATTTGAAATGTAATAAAGATTTGCAGTTTAAGGTCCAAATAGTTGGATAGGGGTGTAACACATAGTTGCTCAGGAGTCCATATTCTACCTTGTGTAAAACCATGGCCCATTATGCCCCCTTTCCAACTCACAAGAAATCCTTAAGAGACACGTCAAACAACTGAATCTTGGCATGTTTAAAGATCTGATTTTTGGAGGTCATAATAAAAACTAAACAAAACGGTGAACTTCATCAACAGTTCATTCTATTTATAGCATAGTACAAAGCTGGAATAGAACCCTGCTGCCTCTTCACTGTGAAACAGAAATAACATTAGAAAAATCAGATGCAACTGATGAACATCATACATTTTTTGGATGAAATATATTTTTAGATAAGCAGATAAAATCTCCTATGGCAGAATGGCAGAATCTAGAATATTCACAGACGATCAACAAACCAATTTACATTACACACACAGAGCACTAACTTGGCAGGCAAAACATGCTATGCTTTAACTAATTCTGTTTCATCTCAAGCCATGCAGGCTGTTGGGAGGCAAAGAACAGAAAACAATTTTGAAAGAATACATTTAATTGTGTGACTATAACAATTAACACTTCAACAGAAAAAAGTAGTCTGTATTTCCAGTGCAGAACTTTTGAAATGAACTATGTTCCTTCTTAATGGAGCATTACTGAGCAATAACATTCAATACATCTGGATGCATGTAAATGAAAAATACTAACCTTCTACAGAAACCATATCCTGCTTAGAAAGTTACTGACTTATACCAATTAGAATCTGGCTGGGGCCAGAAAGTGCAGGAGCAGCTGCTTGGAAAAGCTCTTGATATAAGCAGGGATCGTATTCTCTGTTGACTGAGGATGCCCTCTGGTCACTCTGTAGAGACAAGTCTGGGAACCATATCTGTTTTGGGAATGTGGATATCAAACACTGCTCACAGCACTTTCTTTCATGAATTGAGTAAACTGCAACCTGATCTTTAAGCCATGGAATTTGTCTTATTGCCCCATGGTTCTCTCTTGGTTTGACTATTTCAGTCACTCTTGAAGATGATATGGTCTTCTAAGAGAGAAGGCAGCCGTAAACAATCCACAGACTGATGGCAAAAATTGAACAGAAAAACACGGGATGTAGTTTGTTAGGTTTCTTTCCCCTCTTTTTCCTCTCAGTATCTCCAGATGGAATTAGTTAAATTTCTTTTCAGCAGTTTCTATGAATACGTGCAGAAAATATTGTGAACAATCTGTACTTTACAGTCTGTAGAGTATAACTTTTAAAAGGTACCTAAATTTTCAGGCAGGTAGATTACAGATTTTTATTTAAAATTCATATTATTGAATGCTAGGTGGGAAACAGATTTTCAAAGTAAAAAAAAAAATGTTTATACTCTTTACTGTCTTCTCTCCCTCTTAACTCTGCCTCTGCCCATGCACAAGATGGATAATTTTATAAAGAATAAACAGTAAAGATTACAAATTAAACAGTTCTCAGTAAACCTCCTTCAATGGCTGGCTTGTCTAGCAAGCAGAGAATAGTCAAAATTCTTTGTATTTAGATGGGAATCTGCCCTGATTTACTGCTAATCTTTCATCAGTCTGTAACTGAGCTGAATGCCAAAGATAGAGATGCAAAAGAACTCAGCCAAGGTTAAGGACTTCTATAAACAATGGAAGTAAAAGTCCTAAACAATGCTACAAATGATTTAATGCTTTGAACATAATACCAAGCCAGGAAGAAACTGGGTAGGTTAGTATTATCATCTTTTTCTGCATAAGCTTCATAAAAGGTTCTATTGCTAATTAACCACTGTAGAAATAGATAAGAATCAAGGTGACTCATGATTTAACTCTATGTTGTTGCTGCAGAGAAAACAGTCCTGTGACAAAATTACAATCTTGGAGAAATAGGGTGAAGTGATTGGTGGTATGTCTGAGCAGGGGGACCTTGGTGCTTGCTCTCTGTTTGGAGGCATTCCACAGTAATACCCCAGCTGACATCCAGAAGCTTCCTCCCTGTTTTCATCCCTAAGCTCTCATTCCCACATACAGCTGTATTGGCTAGACAAAGGACTGTTAACAAAGATTCCTCGTTTTCAGCTGCAGCTCAGTTTACCAGACTGTCCTATTTGCTGGGAAATATTGCAGGACCTAATCCCAAAAACATTAAGGAGTGTGCAATCAAGTCAATGGTCCCAGTTGTAAGCCTGATTTTCATGCATGACTGATACTGCACTTACATATAAAAGTTCTGTAGAGTCCCGAGTATGCAAATTAGGTGCATGATATGTGCTCTTGTACTTTTGGAATTAAAGTAATAAACACTACACATTGACCAATACACTCCTCTTAATATACTGGTTACATTTAATTCATTTGGAGTAATGTGCAAAATTGAAACAGGGCTTAATCCCTTTTTTACAGCTCTCATTCCTAGTTGGCCTTTCTGTTAGATGGTATTTGATTGCTACCACAAGAATTCTGGCCTTCCTAGGATTGAACTGTCTTTCTTCACTAGTGAAGAAAACACTGTCCCCTCAAAGCAAACAGAGGCTTGCCAAAAAGCTATAACTTTGGAAGTTACACAAACCTGCCTATCTGAAACTAAGATTCAAATTTTAAAAAGAGAGACATCAGAAAGATGATCACCTAAAATCAGCAGCAACAGCATGGAAAATAATTAATCCCATTACCAGTTTTAAGACTTAAAGTTAAGAAACCAATGCAAAGGACAAATAAATCCTGAGCTGAAAGTGAAGCACAAACCACAAATTCTCATTCCCATATTGTTTAGGTTGAGGGTGGGGTTTTTGTGTTTGACTTTTTGTGATTCTTTTTTCCACTTTTTATAGTGTTAGATTATATTTTTGAGTAAAATCCATGCAAATTCGAAACAACCTGACTTTCTGGCTAGGTGAAAAAATTAGAATTGTGTTACAGTTACATTACAGATAAGAAGTGAAAGGTTAAAGAGTATTAAAGTCTGGAATGCTTGGATAAAGAGGACAGTATTGAGTGAAAAAAAAGTAGCAGGAGCAAAACACTTTGAAAAGAAGGATGTGGATTCAAAACAAAAAAAAATCAGTCTGTATACATGCAAAAGCCTATATGAAACGGAGAATAAATTTTTTTACTGTTAGAAGCTGTAATTTTAATAAACTAAAAATATTTCGAAAGAGAGGAGTAATTTTAATAGAACTAGACTAACTATAAATAACTAAATATAAACACCTTGTAGCACTGGAAATACCATGCAGTACTGCAGAGATGCAATACACTAGTGGATTTATATAAAAAGTTCAGGCACACACAGACCTGTTGCCTTTACTCAGTCATAGCACAGAAGCACAACAGGAAGAAAACACAGCATACTGATAGTATTGAGACACTTGGGTAAAAGCAAAATACTGAAAGACTAGACACTGAGCTCCTTGTCCATGGAAAAGCTGTTATTGCACACTGGGCATCCAGTACCATACCCTGTGTGAATAGCTGTGACCTCTGACAGGTGAGCTGCAGGATCTCTTAGTCATCACTGGGCTACGAGGAGGTTTACCCATAACCCTCTTTAAATTAGCCTAGAAGAACCACAAAAACTTTGTCAAGCCAGAGTTTAAGAATGAAGCACCATGGGATTTTTGTTGCTTCATTCCTACATGCAAGTCAGACATGCTTTTCCTGATAACAAAAAGCAATTGTTACAGGTAGGAGGAGTACTGTTAGTACACAGTATTTTCATTGCTACCACTGTATCTTTTTTTCCCAAAGGTTTCCTGCTCTGGTACACACCCTTACATGTTACAATTGTAAGATGAATCATGTATAGCATATGCAATTGGAACAGTTATTGCATGTGTACCTCCTGAAGGAGCTCAGATAATAACACAGAAAAGCTCAACAGCATAGAGCAGAAATACTACCTTAGAAATACCAATGGTGAATGTAATTCCTTGCTGTTAAACAGAAAACACCCCCTGGATTTGCATTTAGAAAGCAAGTAAATACTTGGTGGAAAGTCCTTCATGGAAGTATCCTCATTTTGTTAGCATCACTACAAATCAGCTTCATGTTTGTCAGAATTCAGTTATTAAGGAGTGTGTGTGCAGCCCATGTGCAATATGGGCAGGAGTGAGCTGGGGGGAATGTAAGGAGAGCAGAGTGCTATATTGGAAACCTTTTCTTAGGTATTTCTGACTGTCAGTAGAATGTGACTAAACAGAAAAACCCATCCCCCTCTTGGGAGAGGAGTGAATAAAAAGAGCAAAAAAAGATACCAAGAGAGGCCAAGGAGGCAGAAAAATGTCAGCATTTCTCCTTATGATGTGTCTTCAGACTTCTTTTTTTGGAGCACACATCCCTCCCACCAACAAAATGCAAACTGACACTTCCCACCCATAGCTCCTTGTATTCCATTTAGTTTTAAGCCACATAGCAAATATATATATATGTGTGTGTGTATGTGTACATATGTATTTTTAAATTAACAAAAGTTACTGAAGTTTGCATATACTGTTTCAAGAACATATATTATTTCTATTTATTTTCAGCTTGGATTCTATGAATTTCTGTTTATTTTCACCTTGCTCAAATAAGGGCAAGGAATATACAGGTCACCTAAAAAAGAATTTCAGTGTAGATGAGGAATGTTCTTAATTTTTCTGGTTAGGCTAAGCAAAAGCACTCTGCCAACTGCTACATTATTAAAAGCTGCAGACACAAGTGCAGCACTCTATTTTACTCTTCTTTGAGGTGGAAGAAACCTAAGCTCATGACAGATTCATGCCCTGGAAAGAAGCCTTATGTCTCTTCCCTGCTTCAGAAAAAAACCCAACAGATTTGTTGATCTTAAGACCACTTTAGGTCCATTATGTCTGTTTTTTCTGTGAATGCACATTGTAAAATGGGGTAGATCTTAAGAAAAGAAAAAAAAAAAGGAGGGCATTTATGATATAGATGTAATGATGGAATGATCACTTTTCTAGGATAGTTTCTCTTTACATTACTTTTTCTCCTATTCATGAGCAGACAAATCTTCTGGAAGTTAGTACTGCAAATTAACTTTGTCTTTCTAGACCAAGTTTTCATTTTTCTGCCACAGAGCTTCAATGCTGACACAAAATGTAGTCCTGAAGAGGGAATAATCTTTGTCCAGTCCTCGACTAACAGAATTGGTATTTAGAACATGACCCTCAGCAGTGGTGCTTTCCTGTGAAATTTATGACTTTTCTCCCAGGCTTTGGATTGAAATTGAAAACAGAAACACAAATGTTATCTAGTTTTTGCCTAGTTGAATACAGTTCGGTTTCATTCAATTAACTCAGTTACACCGCTGTCCTGGTATGAACCTGAAATTGAGTAGAAGGCTTTCTGCTTTCCTATCATTGGTATCTCCTAATCTATTGAATTGTATCACAATGGTTATAGCTTTACCTTGTGTTTCACTTGAAAAACGCCTATCAATCCTCCATTTCTTATGTTATTTAGTATTAGTAGAGAAAGCAGTACATCTGAGAAGATCAAACTCAAACAAGTGTTAGCCTTGCAGTTATTTAATAGACACGAAGCTTTACAACAATCCATGTTCAAGGGGTGCAGTTACCTTTAACTGTAGTGAATCTTTCTCCTGCTGCTCTAAGTGTTTAGAGAGGAGAGGAGCTGAGAGGGAAGCAGTAGACAGGGATATTGTAGGAACGGAGTGGGAAGTAGGTGCCTTGGCAGAGGGAAATGGAAGATTAGAGGAAAGATGGAAAAGAGGATCAGTCTCTTGATGTTCCAGCAGAAAGCAGAGCTGGCTTAAATGTTTAAGAAGTATGAGAAGTAGCTCTGCTATAAAACTGTGTTCCAAAATCAGCTGAAGGATGTCAAATGCTCAGTAAGGGGACATGTAACTAACCTCAACAATCACAAATCTCACGCTAATCTTATTATTAGTCATCTACTTTTCTGGAAGACATATCTTGCCTCAGAAAGCATTAAAATGATGCCATTTGTGGCCATGGATTTCTCCTCTATTCTTAATTTTTCTTCTTTGTTTTTCAGGTCATTTAAGGGTAGAATGTAATTAAAGGGCAAAATGTAATTAAATAGTTTAACATTTGGTCTAAAACATACTGTCCTAAGCACCTGACATGCATGCTGTCAGTGAAAGTAACTACCTGAATAGTCTGTTGAAGTAAGTGCTGAACAGAAAAGAGAGCTATGCCTGGGAGCCACACAAACTGTATAGTTACATTGTGGCATTTAATGGCCAGCACACATTTGGGGTAGCTCAGTGATGTAGGGTCCCAAAGAGGAACCGGGAGGAAGCATTTGTGTAACTGCCAAACATAATCTGATCTGTTACTGTTAGTCAGATCCTTGTAACAGAGCCTGCTATAAATACATCAGCTGTGAGCTGACACATGCCAAGCACAAACCGCAGAGTCTCTGCAGCAGGCACACGTCCCTCCCTCTGCAGGCTGCTGACAGCATTTGCTTGCTGGGGCCTCTCTCAAAAGGGGCAGCACGCAATGGGCTGGGGAGGGAAATGGTTCGCTGGCTTTTCACATCAGAAACTCCTCAGCAAATAGCAGGGGCAAGAGGGAAAGGACTACACAATTGATACATCATAGAATTTACAATAGTGCATATGCCTGCTTCTGAGAAGGGACTGCCCCCTAACGCTGACAATGTTTAATCATAGAATCAGAATGGTTTGGGTGGGAAGGGATCTTAAAGATCATCTAGTTCCAACCTCCCTGCCATGGGCAGGGACACCTTTCTTCTTAAACCATCTTGCTCAGAGCTCAGTTTTATCAAATGCAATTATATAAAAGTGTGCCTGTGCACAATACAAACATGTAGATACAAGGCAGAGAATAATTATACTAAGTTATCTGAACACAGAAGTCAGAAATTAAAATACCTTAAAAATATCTGGTGAAGTATATCCTTCATAACAATCCATAGAATCTTCTCCACTTGCTATTGGGAATTCTAAATTGTCATGTACCAGATCCTCCTCTATATACAGTCTAGTCAGTTCTTCTGTTTTGTCTTGTGCTTCTTCAGAGGAATCTGATTCTTGAGATTCTGACTGATCCTCTTTATTAAGTGAAAGGTCTGCAGTACAGATTTCCTCTTTGTTTTCAGCACTTGCAGCTAGCACACTGGACAAGGAACCTTCTTCATATGGCAAAGGGATGTTATGCATAGCACCGTGTTCACCTTCTCTTGTAGCATCTGAGAAATCTCTAGGTACTTCAATAACTAAACAATCAATTATGCTTTCTAAGTCTTTATCTTTTCCTGACTTGGTATTGTTGCTGACATGCTTATGTGTTATGTCATAAGATGAGCTGGCTGAAGATGAGACAGAGGGAGATACAAGAGAGGACAGAGGGAGATCTGTAGGAGAGCTGAGAAACACCTCTGTATTTGGCATAAAGTGACCATCCTTAACATGGTGAATGCTATTACCTGGGGAGATTGCTACAGTCTGGGAGGTTGCTAATGCCAAGGAATTGAGTTCTTCTAAGTCACAAAGAAAACCGTCTGGAACTGATGGAGAAGTTAAGCTGCACATGCCTGAAGGTGAAAACCCAACAGTCCTTGAGAACAAGTCACTACAGTCAACCTGGAGAATCTTTTGATCAATGTGTGACCAAGACGACGGAAGTTGTCTGGAAAGTGGGGTCAGTGCTTGGGAAGGCAACTTCAAAAATAAGAAAAACATGGGAATTGAAATAGATAAGCATGACAGAGAATTAGGATATGAGAAAACTGGAAAAGAAAAATGTCTGTGCCATCATCTGGATTACAGGGTACAATTTCAGTGACCATGAGTGTCTGAAATCACTACTCTATGAATCAGAACAGCAGGAAAGACATTTGAAACATGAAACTATCAGGTTCTGGCTTAGGGCATAAATGTCAAACATGAAGACAGATCTGAATCATTACATTCATGAAGGCAACTGCATTTGATCTGTTGAAGTTATGTTACTCATGGTGCTCTGTTAGTGAGCCTGTCACAGGTTATTAAATCATACAATTAATAATAATAATAATAATAAATTTTTCCCAAAACATTACTCTTATTTTGAGAATAGAATTTTCAGAAGTACGCTTCAGGTGTTATTAAATACTTCTTTCTAAGTACAACCACCAAGGTAATTTCTAATTATTAAAATGTTAATACTTCTATTTTTCTTAATATTTCTGAGTAAATGTTTAAGAAACATCTTTAATACATTGCATACTTTTATTAAGGCATGAGCTGCTGCTCAGAATGAATGAAATTGAGAATTCAGAATGAATTTGTTTTTCAAAATTAACCCTATTAGTTCAAAATGATGTCAACATTTGTGAAAGGTACATTCAGTTCAAACTGGACATAGGCAATCAACAATGCTTTTGAAATAGTGACAGCACAGTACACAAGAGTATGCTTTGAGTACCGTTACACAATATTGATTGAAGTATCCTTCTGGTAAAAGAAACGTCCTTTTCTAAGAACGAGAGACTGGTGAGTCATACGTACACAGCATCAGTAGATATCCATTGCTTCAGTAAATACTGGAAATGCATTTTTATTACTATAAATCCTCAAAATTAAACTTGAGCAAAAAATATTTTGATCTCATTGTTACAACTATCCAAAATAATTAGATGTACGCCTCTAAGTTATCTGGATTACTACACACTTTAATTATTAATGTACCAGAGAAAAAAATTTCAGAAGTCTACAATAATGTTGCAGAATAGGGAGGTTAGTTTACTTACCTTCTGCTTGAGTTTTCTTGAGGCAAACAGCTTTATATTATAATTAGACAAACCTTTGTTACAGAGTCTTCTGTACCAAAGTAAACAGTATAGACTGGTACAATACAGCCTGCTAAACAGAGCTAGGCTGTTACAGAAATACTCAGTCTCTTTCCCTCATCATTCCTCTTAAGCAAGGGTCCCTAACCTGTGGTTTTAAGGTCAATAGTACTGCTAAGGAGATTTCACCATTTTTACTGTCCCATGGCTATACACTATGTAACTAGTACTATGTAAGTATATCTAAAGATATATATGGATTAGGCCAAGTTACAGAGAGCAAAACTTGCTCACAACTTGTATTGCTTATTTATCTTACTGCCATTAGGCCAGAGAAGTTTAGTACAATTGTTCTAGCAACAAGGAGTGATATGTGGTAAAAATCTCCAAAGAAATAGGGAAAGTGGTATCAGAAAGTGCGGTAAACTCTAGAACACCTTCAGGACTGATGAAATTCTTCTAGGTAGCCAGGAACAATATGTCTTCTTCATGGTATTGCCATTTGTGAATACAGCAAAATCCAGAAAAAAGATGTCTGTTTAAGTGTCTCAGCTGAAGGTGGTTTTGATTTTTTTTTAACCTGATTGTTGAAGAAGTATCCTATGTTAAAAAGAAGGCTTCTACCAATTTCCTTCCCTCGTGAACTAGTTTAGTAAAAACTAACTTAGTAATAGTAGCAGGATACTTTTGTAATATGGATGTAAATGCTCTGAAGCACCACCTGTGCTCAACAAGAGCTATGGAGCTTTGGCAGGATACCTTAGAGAGAAGCCTGCTCCTTAGAAACCACGGGGAGGCATCTCTGGAATAGGGAGCACTTATACTGCCTCATAGTCTTGACTTGCCTTCAGGACCCTCTGGATTCCTGGAACAATAAGGAGCCCTAGCTTATGAATACCTCAGTTGGTAGCTAGAGAATTTGATGTTACTTGAGCATTTTTGTGGGAATAGAAGAGATAGGATCTAGTTCTCTGTTGTGACACATTCTGGAAACCCATACAAGACCTGTTAGAGCAACTGTCCCAAACTAACTGATACTTATTACTAAGAAATATTTTCAGGGGCTACTGTTGCCTATAAATGACATCTTTGGGTAGCTTTTTACAACCCTAAAGTAGTTAGTAAATGTGGAACTTATTTCAAAGTTGAAGCGTATGGATGTTCACAAGTATGGAAGTAGATAGAAGCAGAAAAGAGGACAAACCCAAATGAAACATGAATTAATAGCAGGACAAAGAAGTTTGTAATTACACACAAAACTCACTGCCCATGCTGAAGAGATAAACAGCAAAGGTAAAGAGGAAGATCTAGAAAAGTTTCCATCTTGAATGTTCAAAGTAATTGATAGCAAGTTAATTCTAAGCACAGTTTATATGCAGAAACTTTCTTAGTTTCGATCATTGCCAAAAATGTTATGTTCCCCACACAGGTGAGCGCAAAGCCTCACAAGTGAGTGATAAACCAGAACACAGGAATCTTTCTGCAGCATCCTGTAGTATGGTTTGTGGTGGTTATCTAGACTAGGAAGGAGAACAATTTGGAACCTATGATATGCATCTGGTGTGAAAATATATACAACCATAAAGGTCTGCATTCAAGTTCATTGACAATGTGATGACAATCATCTCACTCCTAAATGAAACAACACTGTCAGTTTGTACCACTCCAAGGAATGTACCAACATTATAGCCTCCTCATAGACTGTGAATGGCAAAAGGAGGAAAGTTTTGGTACAGAATCACTGGCTGTTCTTTGCTTTAAAGGTACAGAACTGGTCTTGGCAAGCTGTGTCCTGCATGCTTATGGAACCATAGGCTTTTAGGACAGCTGTGTTATGGGAATGCCTTCACATTGTACTATTAGAAATCTGCTAGACGTGCTCTTAATGCTCAAACTCTTGCTAAGATTCCCAAATAATTTTTTCTCTGTTGACTTGACTTATCTGCCCAAATTTCACCTGTCTCTACTAAAAATAATGTAATAGCCAATTAAGAAAAGAGCATAAATCCTGGCAGAATATGAGACACACTTGTCTATTAAAAATTATTTAGTAACAACATAGTAATGCAATTCTACTTGTGCAAGAAAGAAAATGTTGTGTACTTAATCCTAAGTTATGTATAACGTTGACAAAATATTACAAGATATTACACCCACTCTAGGGGTGGCAACTAACATCAGAAAATCCTTACCTTAGTTGAACTTAAATGATGTATTCTGTCACTAGAATAGCTTTGGGGTATTGGAGGGTCAGGATAGTCATCTACACCTTTTGATGGATTCTTTTTGATGACTTCTACATAGGAGACAGGGAAGATGCCTTGTTTGTTGGTTCCTGGTATTTTACCTTCATACCAGTTTTGATCAACTCGCTTAAGAAGAATTACTCTGTCTCCCTGAAATTCATTATGAAAATGAGTTATCAGCACATACATTGAAACTTAATATTGTACATAACAACTATTATTTTAACACATAATATTATCTTCCCTAAAGTGCTGCTTCCCATCAGTCTTGAGCATCATCTCCATTTTCCCATTTTTTCCTCCCGTTGATAACAGCCATATGTAAAACTATCATCCCAGTAAAATGAGGGGTGAGGCATAGGCTATAAATGCTGTTCTTTTATTGGAGGGGAATCTCATCTTGTCCTTTCCTCTTGCTTGGGAGATTAACATTAACACTTTTCTTTGGAACATAACCTGTTTTAATTGTTGGCCAAACCACTAGCTAATGCCCCAATTATAGTATGCATTGACTGATATACCCATTTTTTCTTAAGAGTGATAAAAGTTCAACAGTGAAATCTGTGCAAGTGCTTTGTTATCAGTAAAATTCAAGTAAGTGAAGGTAGAAAACCAAAATGTGTCAGTCTGTTGAAAATATGAGAGAAATAAGTGTTTTTCCTATGTAAAATGGGCAGAACCTCCCTGTTCTTAGGGACTGTAGAAATTGAAATGGGAAACATCAACCTTATATTCAAACATTGTACTTTACGTGCTAGACCCTTCTTTGGTTTACATGATGTTCTTTTCACCATGTCTTTCTGAAACAAATCCTTGCCTATTAGTTTTGTATTCTTTTGGGTTTCTTCAATTTTGTTTCTGTAGTTGATGTGTGGAGTTCACTACAATTGTCCTTAGTGAAATGGAACAAAGGAAAACCAATGCAAATCAACTTTCCAAACAAACCAAAATTGGGCCATTAGGATTATGATCACCTCAATAAACACAAAAACTAATTTTAGAAAGAAATAAGACACCCAATTACCCCCAACATCTAACTTCTCTAAATTCCTCTTCCTGGGGTTTTTTTTACACCTTTCTGACTTTTACAAATTTCAAATTAATAAAAAAACATCCATTATTTTCAGTAGTGCTGGATTAGGCTGCAGGTCAGCAACAAACATCTCTATCCTTACTTTTTTGCTTAAAAGAAAAACAAACCACTGAATAGCTTCTATGAACTCTAATTCTTAAAAGAAAAAAAAAAAGTAAGGGGCAGAACTTCCCAGTGGATGAGAAGTAACCACTGCTTACAACTAAGTATTTAATGTCTGCAATAATAAAGATTCTCTACAGTATTAATATTCCAATGTCTAACAAACTTCAGAAATTAAACAGTTATTTTGTTCATGTGTAATTCAGTATAGCCAACAGGATATGCATAGGAAAGATGATAGAACATTATAAACAAAGAGCTGTTGTTAAATAAAATATTTACATTCAGAAAAATATCTCTGAGGCTTTTTTGGGTATCTTTTATCTTGTGTAATTTTCTATTTATTCTGCAGTAAAATCCTTACTATAATAATTGTGACAGCCAGGAATAATTTAAAAAAGGAATAGATAACTGAAGTGAAAACTCAAAATTTAGCTGGGCAGTTAGCAGCTGATTGCATATGCTACTCTGCCACAGTCCAAATTAAAGGCAAAACACATTTTCAGTATTTGCAGGTAGCTGAGACTGACTGCAAGGCAACAAGCTATTTTCTACCATGGCATTGCTTTGTGCATTGCAAATCTAGAATATGCAGAGTGCACAAAGAGCAGTATTTACCTATATATTGATTCTGTGTAGCAGGAGACATTATAATGCTATTTTGATGGAAGATAGTTCTCAACTGTACCTTTCTAAGTGATAACTCCACATTTGTGTCTGCACTGAAATTATATTTGGCAACAGCTTCTCCAATCTCTCCAATCTGTGCAGGGGGAGGTGGCCTGGCAGGCTGTGCTTTTTCTGGGGGAGAAAGTTTCTGAGGAAAAAGAAAAACCAGATTTTCATCAATCTCACGTGGTTTGTCGACCTACTACCCAAATTATTTAAAAGAATTAAAACAAAGAACAAACCTCAACATAAGAAATTGGGAATATTCCAACTCTTCCATGGTGCTCACCCTCATACCAGTTTTGATCAATTTTCCTGAGGATATAGACAGTATCTCCTTTCTTAAAGGACAGCTCTCTGTAACAAATTTATTTATATCAGATGTTTATAGCTTTACATTTAACTCTTCTCCCTGCATGGTTCCTGAGATCTTTACAGTTTGGAACTGAAACAGAATGTAACAACTAAACATTTGAAGAAAAAGTGTCACAGCTGTGGTACATTTATCAGTTGATCATAATATATAAAATTAAATTACTTGAATTTATGAATCCCATGCAAAAGTTATAAAGGCCTGTCTTACATTGTCACTCCAAGGAAGCATTGCTTGTTACCACCAGAGAACTTAGTATGATGTGTGCATGCAAGTATGATGATCTTCATGGCTTATCACTACCTTTCTGCAGCATAAAGCTTGATGTGCTTCTGCTTTACACATTTTTTCTTTCATAACAGCTATTGAGAAGCATGAAGGATACAGCATTATGTTCCCACCATTTCTCGATATCAGAGACGGTGGGTTGTTAAATGTTGGATACCAAAAAGGGACTTTTAAACATCATTAAGAATATTTTCAGATCCTGGCTTGGGAGATCTTTGCTGTATCATCCATTTGGTTTTTCAAGAGCTGATGTGCCACTCTGGTAATTTCAGTTGTGAGTTTTGTCCTGACACAGCTAATGCAATTCTAGTGTCAATGTTTGGTCATATCTAAAGATTGTTTAAATGTCTTGAATCATTGGAACAACAGCAGAAATGAATTGTAGACATTCTACTTTGACTGTCTCATGTCTTAAATTAGTGGTTCCCATTCTTTTGTTATGGACCACTGCTTTTTGTGTTGGTATGTGGCATGTCATATCCTGCAGAAAGCCTGTGTATGTTAAGACAGGAAGAGGCCGAAGCATTATACAGACTTTTGATAAACTCATTATCTGTTACAGTAGTTTAAGCAATTTACCCTCTGTCACCTAAATGTAATTCACAGCAAACAAAGAGCCTTCACAGCCTGTGCTCTAGAAGGCTTAAGATGCACAGCTATTCATGTGTTCAAACAGATACAATGGAGAATATAGTAATTTAAGATAATTTTACTACAAAGTAACTTCTCACACAGTTTGCAAGTGCAGGGACTACTGTGACAACAAGCGGAGTCCTCATGCCCATGGCACTCACTGTTGAAACTGGCTTGAACACCACTTAAGTGGTAGAAAGAGTTTGCTTGAATTATGAATTCTTGAATGAACAAAAGTCTAGTACTTACTTAGAAGTCTGAGCTTTAAAGTCATATACAGCTCTAGCTGGCAGTTTCTGAAAAACAGGTGAAGTGATTAATACATTCAGGTAGTATTACTATATGATAAATGTGTTTCAATTTTGAAAAGGTGACCAAGATCCAAAAAGAAAAGGATGAGCTTTACAGTGCTTCTTGAAGAAATAGGCAATAAAATATATATATTTTTTTTTAAGGCAGTTAGGTGTTTGGGACTTAGTGTTCTAAAACCAGAAATAGCTAAATTTTAATGCAGACTACTGTGCAACTTGATGTTTAAGAGAAGTACGAAAGTAAAGAAAAAAGTTAACTATGTCAATGTGACTTGTAGGCAACTAGGTACAACATAAATACACATACTTAATATTCTGTAGTATTTTAGGTGCCTTTAATGTAAACTTGTTATCTGTAGGCTAATTTCAATTGCAATGAAGCATGACTTTTATATATATATTTATACATACACAAATCCTCTGACAGCTGGAAATGGTTGGAATATTTTTAATTTCTATAATTACATTAATAGTTTTAAGAAAGCACAGGACTGGAGGTGATCTGAGTCATCTATGCAGCTCTCTTGCTATCACAGGCAATCACATGATAACATTTCTTTCATACATTTATCAAGTTCTGTCACCAAGTACATGGAAGCTCAATAGGACTGTCTGTATCTGACAAGTAGCCAGCACCAGATACTTCAGAGGAAGTGAGAAGCAGAACCACATGAGGGCATTTGTTGAAGTGATTTAGTCTTGCTCTGCAAGTACTTGCACAGATAAGATCACCCCATTCTAATAAATGCCTCTCTAGGATGTCCTAGTGACTAGAATGGCTGATTATGCTTTTCTGAGAGATACTATTTGTCATGATGTAAAGGTGCACATCTTTTTATGACAGGAATAAAAAGGGAAACTTGTACATTTTACATTTTAGCTTTATTCCAGGCCAGGTGTTCTTGAATTGGTTCTCTCTCTTCTTGTCATTTTAAGACTAGCAAATCTAGCACACCTACAGAATTGTTTTCACTATGATAAAAAATCCCTGATGTTATTATAGGGATCCTGTCAATTTAATTTTTGCCATACTAATACAATTTTCCATTACAGATCTCCTTCAAATAAGATAGCCTAAATTTAAAAACATTTTTCTGTTCCTTGCTCTTATTAAAAACAGTCTGTTAGACAGGAGGGGATATTCATATCAACATATGATTCATATAAACTGTAGCTCTATGCAGTCTTTCCTGATTTTGGTACAGCTGGTATTGTAACTATTAAAGCAAATAAGAGAAAAAGTGGATATGAAAAGAACAGTGGAGCTATTTAAATACAAAATACTTTGAAATGTACAAAACATACTGGAAATAGAGATGCCTTTTCTCTTTAACATTTTTAAACCTTTTAAAATGATCTTAAAAATGTCTTGTCATTTAAGTATTTTATGTATTTTCAAATTGAAAGATGGTTTTCCATGTCAAAGGATTCTTTAAAAGAATCATACAATATGGCTCCTATGGAACTATGGAACTCCTATGGAATAGTATGCCTATGGAATTTTTTTAGACTGTATTTTGTAATGAGAAATCTTTTTTTTTTTTTAAAAAGCAGAATTTTAATCAAATTGCCGAAATATAAGCAAGTCAGTGGGGTATAAATGGTTCTGAGTTCAGTTCTAACAATTAAGGTGTATAGCCCAGACCAAAATCTTATCTATTAGCAATTAAAATATAGTAATCTTTTATGTTGTTTGGAGAGCATTTATAGTTCTAGACCTCTACGCATTCTTAAGATACAGAATAATATACTTTATTTTTCAATATGTACTTTTCAGTGATGCTTTGTGTGACTTTAAAGGTGGTATACTTCCATTTTCTGGTGGCCTGCTTCCATTTACTCTTCCAAAACATTACTACAAGCAATCAGTACCTAATTATAATCACCAACTGCTACAGATGTTTGAGACTCCTCTTAGGATAACTGGTTTTGTCTAATACACTAACAGTAGTGGTTTGCTTTCCAAACAAAAACAACAGTGAAATATAGATGTTTTGTATCAGTTTTGAAACTACCAAGGTAGTTTCTTTGTGTAATACTTTGGGTTTCTGAACAGCCTTTCCCCAGTCAAATCTGTTATTTTTCTCTATTCCAAACACACACTCCAATCAGTTTTGACAGAGCTGATCAATAACTAGTGAATTTATGTCCATTTCTATTTAATAATGAACAGAAGAATACAGCTTCTGTTAATAATAAAATAATTTTTCCGTTATTAATAAAATAATACAAAGCCTGGTATTATTTTAACTTCTTGAAGTACCAATCTCCTTAATGAAAAAGGAAGATGCTGTTCCTTTGGTCTGCATCATTATATAGTCTTAAAACCAAGACAAATCTTGTCTCAAATATGTTAACAATTTTCCATATGGATATTGCTGTGTTATTTATTGTTGTTTCACTACCTCTTTGTCTGTAGTTCCTCTTCTCTCCCTTGGAGTACATCGTCCCACATCAGTGAAAGCAGAAGAATAGCTTCCAGGAGACTCCTGGTCTACTGAAAACAGAAATTATGTGAAATTATGATAAAGCCATTCAAATCTGTAACGCTGCTGGCTTTGATTTAGGAGGGTGAAAAGATATTGAAATCTATTATTTAACATTTAATAGCAAGAAAAGCATGTGGTATGATGGTTAAGAGCACCTTTAAAGGAAAAACAAAATTACTAACTTTAAGCAAAGGCTAAGGCTGTCCTCTGATCCAGAGCAGAGGGAACTCTATGACTGAGGACCAAGAGAGTGTATTTATGCCTCACTGGAAAAAGGGATGCTCCCCTGCTGGGCCAAGTGGAAGACATGACAGCAGTACTCAGACTCCATCAGGTTGCAGGACATTGTTTGGAATGCCAGCAATGTAAACACATAATTACATGCACAACACATGATTCAAGCATGCTTCAATGAGAAAAATGTGAAGAAACATTGTTTCCTCCTAAGATGCATTTCTACTTTACCAGGGGCACATGTTAGGCAGCACAAGGAAATTTAAAAGGATGTTACTTCATAAAAACAATTCTGTTTTAAGAGATGGAATACAAACTATATTAGTCACCAATCTATGTGGCAGACTTTTCTAAAGCACAGTTTTCCAGTGTTTATTACAGGATGGTGAATATTTTCTCATGTTTTGATAAGGATAAAATCAAAATCTTATACACTCTATAGCTCTGCAAGTTGAAAATGTGAAATGAAAATAGAACTATTTAATGAACTGCCTCTTAACTTCTAGAAGCACCGTTTTAGTTTCCTACTACCACAGTGGTACTTTCTAGTGGAAACATGATTTATATTTGTCTTCCTTTGACTTCATTCCCACAATCTGTTGTTACCAAGCTCATACATTTCTAAAGAAATGCAAGTGGAACAAAGAAAAGAACTGAAAGCATCTCATCCATTCTAACTGGTTGTTGGCTAAGCCACAAAAACTTGAGGGTATTGATAAATGCAATGGAGGTAAAGAGATCATTTTATTATATATGCCACTGGTTGTAAGCATGTAATTCCCAGTAAGTATATCATAGCCCTAGTTCTGCACAGCTTTTTTGATATGGCATGAGTTCCTGAATGAGGATGTACACCTACTGAATAAACCTAGAGATACAATTAATTACTCCAAACACATCTGTTTTTTTTTTTTTCTTAAATTTCTAGCAGTAAGAGGAGGATTTGGAAAGGAGTGGAGATGCAGAAGCTTTAGGACAAAAATTTCTCCTTTTCTCCACAGCTCCTTATGCAGTCAACACTGGTAGCTTTCAGTCATCTGCTGTGACCTTCAGGTCTCTGTGTGGCTGTAAGAGATGCACACACGTCCAGCAAAACACAGAAACTTAATTAGAAATAGAGCTCAGCCATGACTGGTGCTGATGGAAACTAATGGAATATTCTGCTTTACTCATTCGCCACGCTACTTTAGGGATATTAATGTTGACAGAGGGTATTGCTTTCCTCATACCAGGCTCCTTCATAACTGCAAAAGCTAATAGAAATCCACATTTACTTTACACTATGGATTTCCTTATTTTCACAGACTGGAAAATTCTCATTTAGCAACTAAAATATGTGAAAAACACATTTTTCAACAACTTGAATCTCATCATGTAGTACTGTGTGCCAGGGTTAATTATGATCAAGTATGTTTAATTAAATTCTGAATTGCATTTTATAGCTGTTTTTTAACCAAATTTTCTATTCTAAATATGCCTGTTACAACTAGTTAAGAAAAGATGGTAATAGGTTCAATTCTGATTTCTCTTGAAATACATATTTATTATTGTGCTACTAGCAAAAGTTACACAAAAATATGTGAGAATAAGGATAAGATGGGTCTGATCAAATATTGCATACTTTCTATATTAAAGACATTCTCTCTTACATCCATTTGGGATTTCAAGAATATATTTTAACTATTTTTTATTTTTTAAATTAAAATAAAAGAAAAATCAAAAAAGAGGCAGAGCAACAAACAACTCAAAGCAGTAACTTTAAAAACAGATTGGTCATACGTACCCTGAAAATTTCATTCTTGTTTAGATTATTGAGAAATTCCCTTCTAAGAAGACAGGAAATTTCTCAAAATTTATTTTGAAATTCTATGGAAAGTATTAGTTTTGCTGCCACAGAAATTGGAAATTGTTTGAACAGTGGAAACTTCCTAAAATGACCTTAATATCTATTCACAAAAAATGACACAAAGTAGTGGATTCATAAGAAAACAGAACCACCTTTCTATGATACTGGCAGCATTAACAGCATTTTTATCACTTACATTTAATAAAATTATATAGTAAAATATATTTTAGATGCACATTCTTTTTTTCTTAGTTATAAAGAAAGGATTATCTGCATATTGGTTTCAGCATCTTATGATGCATGAATTCACTGCTTAATAACATAATTATAATTTATAGAACTAATTTAGTTTCAATTAGTTGAAATGCACTGCTACTTCAGTTGCCCTGGTTACTGTATTTTGTGAATAGACAGCAAATTTATCTATCCTCAACACCTACGTGAAAATGATGTCCTTCACTAAGAATTTTGTGGGATGAAAGCTTCTTATAGACAACACAAAGTGGAATGAGAAAGGGTGGGGAAACACAGGGAGTAAGGTTGGATAAGTCAATCACAAGGATAGAGGAAGAAAGTAAATCCACCTTGGAAACACAGTGCACTATCATTGTTGTTAGTTGCATCCATGTCTGGAAAAGAGGCACTAAGAGGTAATCTTCCACAATCATTCTGGTACAGTGGACAATGGATAGCACCATCTTGAGGCAGTGGATGAAAAGGCTGGTGCGTGGGACTCTTTTTCAGAGCTTTAAGAGATGAATTCCTTTCTGGAATGTCTGGAAGCAGCTCAGTAATAAGTCTGTGTAATATACTGTTGTCAGGCAAGCTTCCCCGCCTTTTTTCAGCTTTGATTTGGTCACAGATGTCTTTAAGTGCAGAATCTAGTGCTTCAAACACAGATGACTTGCATTTTTTCTTTTCAGTTTGTTTTTTAGGAGCTGCACTTTTTTTCCTCCGGAAAGGCACTGGACTGACGAGGAATGCTATCTTAGACAGGCCAGATTCTGCTTCCTGTCTCCTTGGATCTTCAGTGGTTTCTTGCTTAGCCCTTTCATGTTTTAGCATGGTGGTGAAGCGGGTGTAGGATGCTGGGCATCGCCCTTTGCAGGAGCTGATGAGATGCCTGTGGTGGTGGTGATGGTGGTGGTGGTGATGGCCTGATCCATAAAAGCTTTCAGATGAAGTGAAGGAAAAGTGATCAAAGTCACTTTCACTACAAAAGGATGAACCCTCTATCTGGATAAAGTCACTGAGATCAGAAACCACCCCGTCTTGATCGCTGTCTGAAAAATCTATATGTGATCGCTGTGGCTCATCACTGGTCACTTCAATATGAATTGGCACCAGGGTTTTAGACTTGTAGCTCCGTTGTACCTGAGTGGGATGTCTGACTGGAGTTTCTTCTTCCAGCAGGGATTCGATAGAAAACCGCCTCTTTGGACACAAGCCATTTTTAGGAGGCTCTAATGTAACTGTTGACAACATGTCATCACCAAGGTTCGGCATTGATTTCGACTTCTGAATTAACTTTTCAAATTCAGATATTCTGGTTGGCACCATGTCTCTGGGCACCTCCTCAGTAGATGACTCTCTCCAGCCTTGAAGAATACCTTTGTGCTGTTCTTTTTCATATTGCAGTATTCTGGACTTGACAGAACAAATCACCTCAGAATTCATCAAGTCCTTGCGATTGATGCGGTGCATCTTTTTGTACATCTTCAGGAAACCTGGAGCATCGTGCGCAGATCTGTGACGAACTCTTGACCTACCGCTACCACGGCCCTCAGCGTATGGGGAGTTCCAGTTCATTGAGCAAATTTCTTTGGAGTCCTCCTCACATAACAGAGAGCCCATGCTTTCGGCCTTGGCCTGTGCATCGGGATAGCTATCGTGATCATCTGTCAACAGGTCATCACAGCTACGAGATTTCCTCTTTGGAGAAGCAGCTTCCTCTGTGCTACTCCAGACTTCTGCATTTTGGCGAGTCATTTGCCAGCCATTCTTGTAGCTGGTTGCCCTTCTTGAATCATTTGGAACAGCTAAATGTTGTCTGTAAGTGCTACAGTAATCTAATTCATTTGAGGTGTTGTGGTTGTGCACTGAGTAACTTAAAAGGGATGGATATACTTTGCTAATATCCCCACCTTTATAATCCATAGAGCAGCATGGTAAAAAAGAGACATTGCCAGAAATTAAAAGATTCAGAAAGTTGGAATTAGCATCAGTAAGTATTAGAAAGACTAGAAAAGAGATAGTAATTAGTGCATTTATCAGCTTAGGTCAGTACATAGTTTGTTACAGACTAGGACTGCAGAGTTAATAATTAAGTTATTTTCCAGCTCCTAAAATGCACTCATGATAATCTGAACAACAAAAAGAATTCCTCATTAATTATAGAGATGTTATCTCCTCTACAACCGCTGCCATCAAAGCAACATAAGAAACCAGGCATTAATTGGGGATTAATTGGGATTTTTAAGCAGGTCAACAGAAAATAAAAGCTGCAAAGTATTTAAAGATGAAGTCACACAACAAATCTAGACCTCAGGGTAACACTGACTTTTCCAATGGAGCATTCTGAAAAAGTTGTTTATGATTTTTAACTTATAATTGCCCAGAGTTCACAGCATCCACATATTCTAAGATAGTTAAAACTAAGATAAATCTTCGTATCAGATCAAGTAGGAAATTTCTCCATGTTATTCACAGGTAGCCTACTCCTTCCCTGTGTAGTAGCACTGAAAGAAGCAGTGTTTTGTACAGCTTATGCAGGGCAGAAGAAGGCAGCTCAGGAAGTGTTATGCAAGTGTAAATGAAGGTGTATCAGTTTACTGAGCCTAACCACAATGTAGAAGTAAAAATAACGCTTAGATTGACTTCCATAACAAAAGCCTGATTTTTCAAGCTTTAAGACATATTTTTATGTGCATGGTAGATTTAGAAGACACTACAAGACAAATCTGGAACGGTGGTCTTTCATAATTGTACTGAACTTTCAAAAATAGTCCCAAGTGGCAACATTCAGTTCAGGAAGATGCTTCAAACAGCTCAGTCTGCTTTCTAAAATTAATGGAATCTAGATCTGTCACTGAAACATTTGAGTTCAAAATTCATGGTGATCCAACAGTTTATAATGTGCTCCTTTAACAAATTGGTTAATTTCAAGAAAAATTAAAATTCTACAGGGGTCATAATGCTGGGAGAGAATGGTGTCACCTTCTGAAAGGTAACTGGCTGTGGAAGATATTCTTAATGGAAGGATTTTCAAACACAGGAAGTGTTGAAGTCATGCTTAGTGCTTGCTATTGGTGGCGGAGTCAAAGGCACATGCAGGCAAGTAGAATCCATGCCTGGCCTGGTAAGCCAAATGGGTGAGTTATTCCACTTTTAAATTACTGCTGTAACATTTTAATGTTTTAAATGTTTAAAATACATTTGCTTTTCAATCACCTCACTCTCAATGTTCCTCACTGCTTTTCTTAGACACTTTCTGTTGCAGTCTGGATATTATGTTCTTTTCACTGTGAATTTACTGTTACAAAAGTTTACTGATTAGTATAGCTACAAAACAGAGCAATTAAGAGAATAATAAAAATAATAATTCAAACAGATGGAGACATATTATATTCAGTATTACTCTATCTATTACTTCCATTTTATGTTTTACTGGAAGCTTTTTTGTTTTCTAGAAAAACCCATCCAAATCTCCAAAAACCCAAATGAAGAACTGACTCTGTGATCTCTTTCCTGGAGAGATATGGAAAACAGTAATAGGATGGTGACTTACTAGCAAAAAATAAGCTAATTAGATTGCATCAGCTCTACTAAATACTTCCAAGGATTTAAAAAGTAAGAAATCAGACTATGGATGCTTTCTTGATTAAATCACATCCTGATAACAATGGATATTTTCTTGATTACATTAGGTCCTGATAACTGACAACTAAGATATCACCTATGGATTTAAAAGGCCTACTATCCTGGACATACATCTTTAATCTTACAGGTAATTTGTCTCAATTTATTTTCTCAATATAATAAAACTAGCTTTAAAATCATAATAATCTAGTAAGAGAGTAGTAGAGTTAATAAAAATAGTGTTTATATATTGTGGTAGAATTCATAGTCTTCTTTTAGTCAATTCTCGTTTGTCAGAACAAGCAGACATGAAACTGGAAAGTCCTTGTTACAAATCCAGCTTTCCAACTTAAAATTATGCCTGTAAGAATAAAGAAGTCAGCCTTTCAGGAAAGGCTCAAAGCTGCTGCTCCCCATCACATCCCCTGGGGCCACGCCCCGAGCCGCAGCAGGCAGCTGCTACCCACATCCAGTACAACACACCAGCAGCAGTGTTCTGCCAGCTAATGTGGCCTCCTCTTACCTTTAGCTCGTGATGGAGAAGAAGGAGATGAGCTAGTTAAAGGCTTTCTAAGGGTGGAACATGAGCCCTGTGTGTCTGTACGGCCCAGGTTAGGTCTGTTGGCGTTCTGGTCACTGTGTGCCCTCTGGTGACTCACAGCAGGCTCTGACTTCCTTCGCTTTCTGTAGTCACTCGCAGTACTTGCAGAACTACAGAAAAAAGCAGGATCAGCAGCAGTCTGACTCTGAGATCAGAATTCAGGAATTTAAGAAGTAAGGTCGTAATTATAATATTGGTTTATAGATGAAAAACACATAAAGGGAAGAAGCACTGGTCTCACATATCTTACAGCCTATTTCCCAGTGAAAAGATTAATTTGTTCTTAACCTGATTGTTTTAAAGCTGTACACAACATTACTATGCCATTTTCTTTGAAATAAATGCATCAAGGTATGTTAGACTATTTTTTGGAACTAGAGTTTAGGTGCAAAGATATGAAAAAGACAGAGACTGAGAACAGTCAAGGTATCATGCTTAGGGAAACAGCACTGAATACACTGCAGGCAGTAAGGGTAAAGAATAAATCACTGCTGCTGAGAGAGAAGCTCAGAGATGTTAGTGGAAAGACCCAGAACACAGTGTGATTAATTTAAATGCAAACACTAAGTCCCTGTAAAACTAAAATAAAATCTACACATCAGTATCAAAATTAACACTCCAAGCATCTAATTTGCCAGTAGCTCACAAGGTGAATGTTAAAATCTGACTCTTTACAAAATCTGCTGGTGTCAGGTCCCAAAGAAGACCCTCAGGCTGGATAATCTGTGTCTGCTGAAGTATAGATAGTGCTTCTTACCTGGAGGGCCTGTCCAGGCCTCTGTCTGTTGAATAATGATGATATAAGGAAGCCTGTGAAAACAAACATGGATTGTTTTCGTAACATGGATTGTTACGTTTGTATTTGAAGAAAGGGTGACAATTTTTGTTTATCATATTTGATGACTCCTTGTTACTCTGTGGCAAATCCTATAATAACAGCCCATGATAATTAACATCCGGAGCACTCCATCACAGACAGAGCAACATTTTATGAGAATAAATTATGCAGCTTTTAAAAAGCATTGATAGATTTCATTACCTGTTCTACCTCAGTAATTTTTTTCCTTTAAAGCACTGTTACATAATGATCCCTAATTATGCTTTTCTATATACTTTTCAAAACCAGACACAGAACAGCTGAAACAAATCTTTACTGTAAAAGCAGAAAAATCTGAAAATTATTCTTTTATGTACATGTGAGGTCTGCAGAGCTTCTCTTCATCCCTCAGTTACTCACCAAAATCCTACAATCAATAATAGCCAGAAGCTTTTGTCAATCCCACGACGTTTGTGGTGCATAACTGGCCTCATATACCTTATAATCCTGGTAAGAACAGTTCTCATCACAGAAAATTAGTCATTGCTTATGGAGTTACAGATGCAGCTACTGGGAGATGGAACTTCCATAATTACATTATTAATACAAAGTCAGCCTTAAATGACTACTGATTTTAAATCAACTATTTTAAGCCTTTAGTCAGAATTAAGTAATATTACAGTTCTGGTACCCAGGTATGAATCTAGAATGAACTTCTTGGTTTCTGAAGTATTTCTTCATGGATATAAAGCAGTCAGGTTCAAGAATTGAACTTCTTTCAAGTTCCTGCCTTGTCACTTCAGCTTTCCATAACTCAATGGACTAGAAATAGAACTATCATACAGGTTTCTAAGGTGCAGGAAATATTTTTTCCCTTTATAGAGAGCCTTCTTAGCTTTTTCCCTGCATGGAAAAATCTTCGCCCCGAAGGACTGCTGAAGTAAGGGCACTCATGGGCTGTACAAGTTCTTTCTTTTGTTGGATTTTTTTCCCCAGTGATTTGATTTGCAAGTTCATGAACAGAACTTCACCCAGATCTGTTAACTGACACTTAAGTAGAGAAGTCACCAGTAGTCTTAGAATATTTGGGAACAGATTTTTTAGGACTATGGGGTTGGGAGAGCCACACAAACATGCCACAATAGGAAACAAATGTTATCTAAAACTTGAGCTATTTTCACATAGTTCATATTTTCAAGTTTTTCTTTACACTCTCTGAAGGCTTATAAGTACTTTGTGACTAATGTCCCATCACTCTCCAAATGCAATGATTTTAAGATATATATCAATAGTATGAGGTCTATCTGCAATAAAACCATAGAAGGCAGACACAGTGCTGCTCACACCACCAGCCAGTATAACCACAGGAAGCAAAGGCCTCAGGTCTGTGTGCTTCCCTGCATTCAGCCTGTCCTGGAAAACACCCCAGTCTCATTTCAAAACTGGCCACAGCCATCTTCCTTCTCTTGACCAGTCACTGCCACAGTCTGGAAGCAGCCAGGAAGGAACCTCAAGACCACAGGTGATCTCTCAGAAATGTTGCACAAGGTGCTGCAAACACTGCAGATAAATCGTCATTGTGAATTCTTTGGTGTAGATGCCAACCACCTCCACTTGCTACCCCTGACCACATCGGAGGGGACAGTGGCCAAATGAGGCAGTGTTTGCTTCCCACCACCTGTAGTGGCTCCGTGCCTGTACAGACCATGATGTCACTCCTAAGGGCGGAGCAGATCCTCAGTGTCTCCTGTGGAAGGCTATGGGATCACACAATGGAAATCCCACCAGAGGGAACTTCCTTATCCACAGCATTCCCCAGGCTATACACAGATGGCTAGAAGTGCCTATCATGCCAAAATTGACTGCTGGGTTACTGGCTTTCACTTTACATCCTTTAAGATTCTTTTACCACCTTGAATGCCACTTGCCCTTTTATCCTTTATTTGATGCTGGCTTTGAAGTTTTTTCTCTATGACAGATCCTGTACTTTGCCCATTATACAACACTAATTTCTACTACAGGCATATATTATTTTATAGATTGTGTGGAGTTTATACCTTCTCTCCATAGGAAGACCTTCATTGATGTGACATATAGAGGAAAGGTGAAAGTAAATACTGTGTGTGGTTGTTTTTTACTACTTGTTTTACTGTTTGCAGCTGTCCTATCAGCTCTTGGGTGTTTATTGACCCACTTTTAGATGGCCCAACTGAACACATCTCTCCCATCTCCAAAAATAGTTAGCCATCTTCCATAATAGTCAACATTGCTCTGTATGAATAAAGGCAACTTGAGAAAAGGAGATGACAACTCCAAATCTTTTTTGAATACTTTGATTTGGTTTTACTAAAAAATTGATATATATATTTAGAATTAACCCAGTATTTTAGCTGTTTTCATGCATCAAGGCTTTAATGCTGATTAAAAATGAAGCTAGGGAAAGTAGGCAAAAGTAAAAGGAAAATAACAAATAGGCTTGTTTGCATGATGGTTATAATACTTTATCAAGTTATTTTGAATAGTCTCCTCCTCTGGAGAAGTATTAAGTTGCTGTCGTTTTTGAACACGATTTATCATATTTAAAGATTACTAAAATTTCAAAATTAAAGAGAGGACTTTGTAAATTAATCCAAGAGAAAACCAGTGATACTTAATAGCCATTTTACCCAGACCTACTGAACATGGGAGTATTTCAAAGTCATGTTAGGGCTTTCAGATTGTCTTCCTTGATATATTGAAAACCAACAGGAATTAGAAAAGGCCTAGAAGCTTTTTCTTTCAGAGAACTGGGCCCAAATTTCAAAACTATGAGCTTTTTCTAGATCTATAGAGAGCTTAAAATCAAATGAGACTAAATTGCAAACAATTAACAATTTAAGACCACAATTTGAGTTAAACTTTTGGAGAAACTACAGGAGATGAGAGTGAATCACAAATATGGATGAAGTAAAGCCACCATATGAAGCAAAGTTGCCAGTAGAGGATTTGCTGACTTTTGCCCTAACGCTGTAAAATGGAGAGGGAGTGGAGAAGGAATGAAAGCCTGAATCTCTCCCACTCAGAGTAGGGCAATGTCAACCCACTACCTGATCTTGATTAATTTTATTTGGAGTACTGACAGCAACTGTCAATCCTGAGTTATAAATTACAAAAGTACTATTAATTGCTGTTTTACCTGATGAGCAACCTTAGTCATAAATACTTAATTGGAGAAATGACAGCTTATCCACAAAGGCTTTCACTTGACACATAGAATTTGCAGTCAGATATTTTAATAAAAAAAAATAAACTGAGCTGATGGATTAATTGTGCAATGCACTTGCCCAACTCTGAAAAGTGGGAATTTGTCAGAGTTAGAGACATATGGAGTGTTGTGTAATTCTGGGTGTTAATCTCTGAGAAGTTTTGGGTATAAGGACTCACAGTTCCTAGGATAATAAGATCAACATCCAAATGCACTAGTGATCTGGAAAGATATGAAGACAAGGATACAATGATTGTGAATTAGAAATGTTTCATAGCTATCAGAAGGAAACAACTAAATTTTAACAAACCAAGATATAAATGGTGAGCATTCCAACCCTTCTTCCCAAGAGAATCATCTGAAAAAGAACCATTCATTTACCTCATTGGAAACACCAGAAGAACTGTCTTGAACATAGTCCAAAAGCTTTTTAGGTGGCTGCATCATAAAAGCAGTAGTGTAGAGATGAAATGAAGGAGGATCAATGGCAGCAAGGAATGAAACATGTGGAAAAGGTGACACAGTTAGAAATTAAGTGTTGACAGCGTCAGATACAAAGAGTGACACACACGGGTAGAATGGAAGGATAAATGTGTTATTTTTAAAATAACTTAATAAAATGTTAGTAACTTTAGGTGGTAAAATTTACAACTGGAATGGTTGCATAAATACCAGCAAGTTTTAACACTGAGAAAGAAAGGTCTAAAGCATCACAGTTATGCTCTGTTGGAGAAATTTCAATATATTTTATCTTAAATTTATTGTTATCAGTAAAATATTGTTCAGATATGGATAATCAGAAGAATTTATCTGTACTGTTTCTGCCCACCTAGAGGGAGAAATGATAATACCACTTGAATGGCAGGATAAGGGAGATAAAAAGTAATCCATGACAATGTGATAACATTATAGACCACTGCACAAGAAATTAAACCCAGATATATTTACCTTTATTTTTTAAAATTTTCATGGGATATTCAATGGGTAATTTTTAAAACACTATGATTAAAACATTAAGGTTTTAAAAGAGTGTATATAATTTGCTTTCTCTTCTGCTCTCCCTGAAGCAGCAGGGAGTTTTGATTTTGGCTTACGGCTAGCTACAGAAAGGGACTAAGGTGCCTGGTTCCAGGGTGTCCTCCAAGGCCCTGTGTCTGTGCTCAGGCTCCTCATGTAGCTGGCATGTCACTAATTAAAATCCCGATAGGCCTCCAGAGAACTGTTGGCTGACAGGGAATGAAAAGAATGGGGATATTTTAAATCCTGATACTCTCAAGCTCATGTCTTTAGATTTCCTGTCTGTGGCCTGTGGCTTCTGCTTTTTAAACTCAAAAAATCTCAGGGAGGATCTTGGGGAGCTATGAGAATGCTTAAAAAGACTGAGGGAGTGCTTAGGTTTACTTCCCTCCTTTTTCTAAGGGGATTTTAACTTCTTTTAATTTTCTGCCTGTCTGGATATTGCAACTATCCTCTTAGGCATTCTTCTGGGATGAAGATATTTGCTATCCCTTTTCCCAAAGATGTTAGAGTGTACAGGAAAGACTTTGAGCTCTGTGGAGCCAGAGAGGGAGTGTGCAAAAGCAAGAGCAGGTGCATCTCCAACCCAGTTGTTAAGGCGTTGTGCAGGGAGGAAGTGAAATCTAGTTCTCAGTCTTGCCTCAAGGACAGTGTTACTGTTTTACTATTGTAAAAAAAATACAAGCAGCCTTAGGTGCTTAGATACAACTAAGCCTATGGTATTTGCAGAAG